AACTTTTGTTGGTTGTTGTCTTAAGTTAGGGTGGAGGATGAAACATTCACCATCCGCATGTCCATAAATCTTGCAGTGAGGGCAAAAAAGAGGAATATTTTCATACAAAACTATTTGGAAATAACCTCAGGAAAAGGTTTTGAGATATCAATTTCTACCAGAACCCGAGCCACCGAAGATCTCGATAACACGGGTGTAGCCTGGTCAGTGTGTAGCGGTCAACCAAAGCGGGAACCGACACATGAAGTACTTGATGATTAATTGATAAAGCCTTGGCAGGGAAAAGAAACCCACTCAAGAACAATTGGGGGTTCTTCCCTAATGTCAAAGGAGTCCATTTAAGCAAACCCATTTGACAGTTAACAACCTAGTAAGGTCTTCTAGCAGAGATGCGATCATAATCCATATCATTTTCAAGCTTTATAGAGATATGTCTAGTATCAAGAAGCCCAATAGAAAAGTTGCCAGAAAATTTCAAGTGGGAAAATACTTACGTGATTTGCTTATGGGCGAGCGTCAGAATTAGAACTTACCAACAAGAGTGAAGGCAACGGGGGAGGCAAGGGCATCCACAGTATTATCATAAATGATCAATGCGACTTACCGTGAAGTGTAGAGAAACGAAGGTTCAGTGATCCCAAATCTAAAGATCGATCAACTAGGGCATTTTTAAAAGATTGAGTTGCTTTTGGAGGGGGAATAGAGCCCTTCCAAAATTAACGTGAGTTTGGGTTTTCCCCACCTGTGTGAGGAGAGAGGCCACAGGACTTGGCTATCAGCGGCTAGGAAATCACGGATTTTGATGAAGCTTCTTGCTTGCAATTTGAAACTACTGAAAGAGGAGCTCCTTTGCGTGATATTGGGAGAGTCGATCGGAAGGAAGAACTCCTTTGTGTGTGAATTGAATGGAAGAAAAGAGCTATTCTGCAAACCCTATTTCGATTGGTCGTCGCCGACGTGGGATGTCTTCAGCTGGGGCAGCGCATACGACAGGGGAGAGTTACAAGCAGTAGTCTTGCCCGTGTTGGGTCTCGCAGCCGAAATCTGCGATGTTCGGGAGCACATTGATGGTGCGACCGGATAGGAGTGCGGTGGGTTTTAGGAATCGTCTTCTAGAACTCCATTCAATCTTCTTGGATGCTACTCAACTCTCTTTATTGCATGCGTGCACTCAAAATCTGGTAAACTCTTTTGATGGATTTATGGACTTATAGTCATCAAACCTCTTTTTGTTGCACTTAGTCTTGAGAAGAGTATTTTAAGCTTATTTGCTCTTTTGTATAATATTGCATATCCTCTAGTTCAGCTAGCACCTCTTCTTGCTCCTACAAATAAGGATGTTGACGCCATTGATTTTGAGTATCTTTTTTGAGTCATATGTTAGTTCACCTTTTATTGAAACCCATGTCGATAAAATATTCAATATCCTCTTTTTTCAAAGGGGTAGAAATAACAAAAAAAATTATCATCATTCTCAAGGTCTCACAAAAATTATCACCTTCTATTGAAACCCACGTTGACAAAAAAAATTATCATCATTCTCTAATTGAGCTAGCACCTCTTCTTGTCATAATTGAGAGCTGGTAATATTATCTTCACCTATTAGATGGATGTTTTCTGCTTAGTCCATATATTATAATAATTTATATGTTTGGTTCTCTACTTCACCTTAACCTAGCATTTTTTAGAGTTGTTCCCAATCTAGTCATTTCATTATCTAGTTATAGTATTATACTTTAGAAATGGGAATTTACATGCATACCACATAAATTTTGTGTAAATATGTATCTACACCTAAATTTTAATCTTTACTTATATAATACCCATATCTACATCATACTAAAAATACCCCTACTACTACATTTTCTAAAGTAAACATTCCTTTTTATGCATATGTTTTAATATAATTGTGATACAAAAGTGCTAGCTAAGCAAATACTTAAATTTAGATGTTAGATATATATGAATATATACAAATTGTATGATATGATAGTAATTCCTTCTAAAAAAAAGAAAGAAGGGGCACGAGTATTCACAATCTACTTTCTCATAACATGGCTATTTGTATAAAAAAAAATTTATCTATAGAGACAAAATCATTTGACTGGAGAGTGAATCCTAATTATTGATTTTCTTAAAGGGTTCTCCTTGATGGAATTATTAACGTAAAAAAGGACATCACAAACCATAGCACTAACAATGATTTCTAAATGGTGGTTAGTAGGAATATGTCGGATTTCATCTAGGGAAAAGTTGATAGAGCCACTCCTTTTATTTTCAGGTGCGTGAAAAAGGTCATTAGGCGACATAATCAGCTCATGGTTTTTTATCAGTTGGTTAAATTTCCATAGCTACACTGGAAAACTTCATGAGGTCAAGGTGCACGATAATGTGATTTTTTCCATGCATAGAACAACTAATACATTGATCATGGATATCTTTAAAGTGAACACAATTCTTGCCAATATTCATCTTATTCTTCGTTAATCCACATTTATCTCTAGCAAAAGATGTTTGATATTTACAAGTTATCCCTCCTGCAGTAGACAACATAGAGAGCTTGGCTATAATAGCATTCTTCAGAAATGGTTTATGAAAGTCTTAACTAGAAAAATAAGTAGCAACATGGCCTCTGCTGTGAATTAGCAAGTGAGGGAAGGATATCCAAACATGTACATTATGTCCAACATCTCGTACTTTAATCAAACATATTCTTAAACAAAATTTTTGTCATTATTCATTTTCTTCCACGTTAATTCACATCTCTTTAGCAAAGATGTTTATATATCAATCCCAACCAACGCTCTCACAAATAGATGACCTGGAGAGCATAGGTATGGTAGCGTCCAACTTAATTGGTCTACCAAGGCTTGAATCAAATGAATATAGAATAACATGATCTATGCACTGAATGGGAAAGTGAGGGAAGAATATCTAAACATGCACATTGGGAGGTTATTATTTAGGATTAAACCCAACATGTTCATTTATGGATTCACGCGGAAATAAATACAAAATAAAATATATGATCAAAGAACCCAAATAGTCTTATTATTTATAGACTCCATTCAAGATATGCTTGAAAGTAAGTAATCCAATGAAAGCAAACCAGAGAATCTCAAAACATGAAAGAACTAGTGGATCCCTTGCAAGTAAGGATAGCTTGAGGTGAACTTCTCAACTAATTCAAACTTAAATATATTTTCTATTTAGAGTATGTTTGTGATTTGATTAAATTCTTTAAGTGCAAATAAGTGTAAGAAAATAAAACACAGAAAAACAAACCTAGAATTTTTATATTGGTTCACCCAATTAGTAACTACTTTATTTTTTGTCATTATAATTTCAATGTGATGATGATGAAGCTTTATAAATGAAATTCACAGCTTTTTTCTCTTTGTATTTTTCTAATATTCTAAAATAAGAAATTTCTACTAATGACACCCCATTTTTGATAAAAAAATTGGGAAAACCAAAATTATATGTGAAATTCTCAAGATGCCCTTAATGAATTAACTTATAAATACTATAATTTTTAGGTATTGTCTTTGCTTGAGACATTTATTTGTAAGGGATTAATTAGGCCTCATAACTTTGCATTTTCTAATAAATCAATTTTAGCTTTTTAAAATGAGAAGGAATACTTGTCATTGAACTTTATAGTAGATTTAGTGCTGTTTGTGACAAATTTATCACAGCTTTACTTTCTAGTATGTTGCCACACCTTCGTTTGACTACTTTTTTGTTGCTATTTTTAAGAAATTTTTATGGTGGAATGCTGCTTTTGAGAATTAGATCTGTTAAAGTGTGACAGCTCTGAGAAAGTTGTTATTTGATTTTTTTTAAAAAAAATAAATTTTATAATACCAACAACAACTTTCAAAAAGTTATTTTCTTTTTTTAAAAAAAATAAATTTTATAATACCAACAACTTTCAAAAAGTTATTTTCTTCATAGTAATTTTATAACATCTTTGAAAAAAACTGCTGCTGTCGCCTTAAACAAACCCATAATATTCATAGATGAAGATGAATAAATGTGCTAGTGAAGCCCTTGAAGAAGGGGACTTTAAAATGTCTTAAGAAAGAGGGATTCATAGATACATGATCTATCATACCTCTATATTGAGTGTATGATTTGATAGATACAATGATGAGGGTAGGTTCATTCCCCCATAATAGTGAGTTCATGATTGCCGGAGACCTTGAAAAGAAGTTGCGGCTATTTTCATGAGGAACCACAATGCTAATATATAATTATACTTGCATCATGGATGATAACTTGAAATGCTGAGAAAAGTTACAAAGTTTTTGGAGAAGAGAGAAGTGAAGAATGTGAAGGCTGGGCATAGATGAACAGATAAAAATCTTTTAGTTCTATTGGGGATTAAATCTTAGCTTGGCACTTGTAGACAAGTCGCTTAGAAGTGATGTTTATTCCACCAGAATAGATTGTGTAGTTTATGAAAGAATTTATCTGCTAGCTTCAATTCAACTGGAATGTAGGTTTTTGGATTGCATTTTTTTAACTTGCTTGAATTTATTCCCCCCTTTTTTATAGGGCTGTATATTCTTATTACAACTTTAGGGCTCTGTATTTTATTTTCTTGAATTAGAAAATTCTGGCTTGTTTTCTCTTGCATTTTGCATTCAATTCTTATCTAATGTAGCATGCTGTTGGTATTTTGTAGAATTTGTTGAAAGAAAAACTACAATTTTTAAATGTCTAAATACAAGAAGGCTTCGTTAGAGAGACAAATTGGAGAAGAATTCTCCAACAATTTTACCATCTTCCTTCTGTTGCAGTGGTTGTTGAATCTTTTGATTCATTATGAATAGTAGAATTATTTCTCCAATGGTGTTTTACTTTTTATTATATCCTTTCTTACCTGTTATTGATATTACTTTCCAACTACAAAATATCTAACACATCTTAAGATCCAAGACTATTACTTGTTTTTTCTACCTTGTCATGATGCTTTACTTTGTTTATTGCTCCAGGTATGAGAAGTATCATCTCCAAACTGGAGGTGATGATGAAACAAGGAAGACTAACTACAGTGATATGGCAAGTAATTCAATCTTATCCTCTTGTTTTACTCGAGCTTTTGTTTTCTAGTTTACTTGTATTTCATTATGAACACTAGTTATAGGCTACACTAGAGCTACTTATAGGCTATATTTTGATATCTGAATGGTGCACATTTTGTGTTTTGAGTATGCATTAGCTCCAACTAGTCTACTTGTACGAATATTATCACATTCCATGATAGATATGAATGAAAAAAGGATTACTAATTCTGATCCTTAATGATGTGGTTGAGTCAAATGATGATCATAAAGATGTCATGACAGGGGTTTGATATGTGTAGTTATAGAGGAGAATTTTGTAATATATTTTTGTTTTAATATTTTATCACTTCAAACGTTCATAAATCTTGTGCTTAACATTGCACTCTTAAATATTAGTTTATAGTATCCTATAAATACTACTACTTTTTAGTACCAGACACTTTCATTTATAATTATAAAATAACTACACATTCTAGGCGAGTTTTCATTTTTGTCAAGATTTTTTATTCATTAAGACGGTTAATAATTTTATTGGGTAGTTTAGAATTGGATTAATTGTTATTGTGTGTCAAGTTAGTTCATGGGTAAATAATGTTTATTAGGTAGTTAATAGGTGGTGAATGTTTCCTTAGAAGTCCTTGCATATCTATAAATACTATCCATAAAAAAGTGTTAAGGTATCAATGAACGAAATGAAATAGCTTTTTTCTTTATGTTATGGTTCTTTTTTCTTCCCCTCCCAATTTCTGAAGGTACCTACATTCTTGAATTTGCCATTTTCCCACCTTCATCCCTGTATTTTGACAATGTCAACACTATCGTATCAATAGATCTTTTTTTGAACCTCCCTTCAAGTGGTCCATGACATCTTCACTAGTAACGAACTCCCACATTCATCCAGGATCTCCTTCTATGCTTCCACCTGATCACCCCAAATGTGACATTTATTTCACCCAAATACCAAAAACAATCTAGATCCCATTGACGATAGTCCTTTAGTGAATCTATATCAAAATCCACTAACAACGACCTCTTTTGACGTTTCTAGATCAATCGGTTCGCCATTACATCTCCCCAAACATCATTCTCAGATCCATTGTTACTTCTAGCCTCACTCCTGGATCGTTCTGTCATGACTTCCTTTCCTAAACTAGGTCCACCTATACATCCAAGTCTAATGCTCGATATCCTTTCATCTTCCAATTATGCATCCTCCATTTCAAATATGCTGCGATTTTCATCACTGTTTTTCCAATTGCCAGTTCCTCAACGATCGCCTTCACAGATCTTGCTTGACCTTTCATTTTTAGTTTCTGCCTAGGTCTCACCATTCTTTGACTTTTGTCTCACTCGATCTTGAAGGTGAGGTCAGGTTTGAAGGGTTGCAAAGTTCTAGGGTTAACAATTGTAATATATGTTATTAGATTTGGCTATTAGACAATTGTAATAAAGGGGCCTTGTAGGTCATGGTAGTACATAATTATTGGTTATTAGATAATTAATATGTAATGAATGTGTCCTTTAGAGCCCTTCTATTTCTATAAATACCCTAGTGGAGTTTATTGGGGTATCAGTAATCAAATGAAATAGTAGTTTTCTTTATAATTCTGATTCTTGCTTCTACCTCTAAATTTTTGGAGTTGCCATCATTGTAGGATCTGCTATTTATCCTCATCTTTTTATACATCGGTAAGCCCTCAATTGGTCTTACCATTCATCATTCTTTGGAAGTTTTGTCTTATAATTTTCGTATTTTTTCATTCACGGTGTATTGTTTTCAGAGTTCCATGTATTGTGATGAGCTGCCTTGTGCTTTTTCTTTATAATGAGTTCTTATTCCACTTCTTTCATTTACACCAAAGATTCTTTTGCTCAACAATTCCTTGGTAGCTTTATTTCCTTGACTAAAATGTTACTAGTGTCTTATATCAACATGTCAGACTCAACTCCTTGGATTATTTTTTTTTTGTGTTTTGGTTTCAGCCAATGGTGGTTTGAAATTAGATTATTCACTTAATGGCTTTTGGCTGGATATATATTACACCGTCACCATTTTGAAATTGGTGTTATAGCTTTACATGTACTTTTAGTTGTCTATTCTAATTGTGTTATAGAATTTAGATCTCCTGTTCAAGTGATTGGCAATAGTTTGACCAAATGCCCAAAACAAGTTGGTATCTTCGTTATATTTTAAAATGATCAAGTCCATCTCACTTTTATTATTGTTGTTTCTGAAAGTTTTTGGGCTTTAATCAATCGGGGATGATTTTCTTTGGGTGCATATCGGGAAAACTCTTCTGTCTCCTTGTTTTCCTATTTATACAATTATGGTAGATGAAAGTATGTTTAATATTTCATGAAAGAGGAAGAGTTTAGTGCATGACTTGTGACTAGAAAACTAGAACGTTTATAAACTAGAAAACTCTTCTGTTGTCATTCTTATATTGATCCAAGAATAATTTAGAATATTTTGTTTGCTATATTTCATGAACATTTTCATTCTATTGTATTTTACTTTCTTTAAGTACATGCTGATGTTTTATAAATTTATTTGATGCCTTTATCATGATATGAATTAATGATTTTTATGTATTTCAGGTAAATAAATACTATGATCTTGCAACCAGCTTTTATGAATTTGGCTGGGGTGAATCTTTCCACTTTGCTGCCAGGTTAGACAAACTATTGCGGCAAAAGTCTCACACGCACACACACACACACACACACAGTGTGTGTGTGTGTGTGTGTGTGTGTGTGTGTGTGGATTGATATTGATGAGTTATCGTTTAAGATAGGTCCATATGTGAAAAACATATTTCATTTAGCACTTTACAATCTTTACATCAAGGTCCTTCATCATGAGGTAGTTGATGGGATGGTTGCTGATTAGTTCCTCTTGGATATTTCCCTCTTTTCTCTGGTTTGCACTAACTGACACACACATATATATATGTGTGTGTGTGTGTGTGTGTGTGTGTGTGTGTGTGTGTGTGTGTGTGGATTGATATTGATGAGTTATCATTTAAGATAGGCCCATATGTGAAAAGCATATTTCATTTAGCACTTTACAATCTTCACATCAAGGTCCTTCATCATGAGGTAGTTGATGGGATGGTTGCTGATTAGTACCTCTTGGATATTTCCCTCTTTTCTCTGGTTTGCATTAACTGAACCAAAGATTGGGTAGCTGATGGCTTATAGGTGCACCAATAAGCCATTTTCTCCATTTCATCTTCCACTCAACACATATACAAAAAGATAAGATGGGAATATTGTTAGGTTAACCAGTTGCCAAACACTCATCTCCCTGTCTTTCTCTCTTATAAATTGAATCCATCATGGAGGTGGAGAGTTGATTGACCTATGACTTCTCCTCACATATACCCCCAACTAAACCCCCTCCCCAATTTCTTTTTTCTTCTAATGCCCTTCTTCCTCCACGCAAAATGACTGGATTAATCAACCTTTGGCCACTTTTTGTCCTTCACCTTTTTTTGTTTTCTCTCCTCCCATCTCTTCTCTTTTCCTCCTCTTTTTATGAGCATCGTATGAAAATTGTGTCAATTAAGATACATTAATATCGATATCTTTTTTCATATACATGCACATGTACATTGGTGTTGTCTCACTAGTACCATCAAAGTTTGACCTCATCATAGTGAGTCATGCACATGTAAACAATCTATGCAAATGATATCCTTCATAATTTCATACACTCAACTATAATGAATTAATTATTTCATATTATGAGATAATAAGCATTTGTATCGAAATGACCGATAAATTTAATAATAGAACAATCAATTGCATTAATCAAACTTTAACAACCCATAGAACTGGTTTATGAGAGATATTAAAATAATGCTATAATTTAAGAATATGAGTACTCACCTTTATATCAATTAATTTTGAGCTTGAATTTGCCTTTACGTTAACTCTTATAAAATTGGAAGCTTAAACATGCATATTCATATTACAAAATTTAATCAGTTATAATTAACTATTAAATTTATATCATTTAAGTATTAAATTTCCATTATTTTACTTCATAAAGAGTTCCTAAATGAATTCATTACTTAAACTTTTCCTTACCGAAGTTTGCGCTGGTCCATTTTCCTCTAGCTCGCATACTTTGCCCCCTTTCCCTCCAAACTAAAATTATATACCTTGAGTTTTAATTTAGTTTTAATTTTCTATTGACATAATTTGCACTATATATATATGGAAAAAGCCCAAGTGCTACCATATTAAAGAGGAAAATATACAAATAACTTGTATGAGTGAGCCTAAAAGAAGACCCAACTCACACAATACAACACACAAAATCTCAAATAAAACAAAGATACATAAAGATAAAAAATCAAAAACCACCAACGGACGCAAAAACGCTAGGGACGTCCCACTTAAATCCTTTCTCTGTCTCTTAGTTCTCGGAAGGGAGTCGGCTAACAGATTGGTAAGGTACGTACCATTACCCGAAGTAACCAAAGTATCATCAATCAGATTCCTGAGCTCAAGTAGGTCTTCATTCTTCTTTCTCCAGGATGTGCAAACCTGTCATTCCTCATCTGATCAATAGATTGGTCCAAAGGTGGCCAAACAGGTGTAGGTTGTTGCGCATCATGATCCCCATGAGCCTGAGTAACATTAACATCTTGCTCGACCTGATGAGGCGGTAGAGAAGCAGTAGAATTATTGCCACATGTAATAGCAGTGATAAGTTAGAGGGCAGATGAGGTCTGAAGAATCTCCCTCGCCCCCACGATAGGGGAGGTTCCAAAGATGGGGGAACTACAACATTGTGTATTGTGTGGAGATGGAGACTGAATGATTGACATATTGTCTGTGAGGATAGTGACGTCTTCAGGGGTATCATTTTGATGATCAATAGTGTCAGTAACTTGGAGCTGATCAGGAGGAGAGAGATTCATTGCCTCTGGCAGAGCACTTTGTTTTTTTGGTTTGAGGTGGGGGTGCAGATGGTGGCATTGAGAACTGTAGTTGTCGAAGATATTACAGTTCGAACAATACGAAAAAAAAACTCAATCACTTCCTTTTGCCAATATCCATGGTGCTGTGTGCCCAATCAAATTTTGTTAGAAGTGGTTGAAGTGATGTCTCTTTCAACAATTACTTTGGTTTCAGGTGGATAAGAAAGATTAAAAGTAGGAATGTCTGTTTTGAGTGACTTACTATAAGCCGAGGCAATAGAGTGTAATACTTTTTGAGTAAAATAATGAAATTTCAGACAAAAGAGGCGAATCCAAACTGAAATGATTGGTGGTTCCGTCTGTGGGTCAAAATCCACAGACCATTTTAAAATTTTCATTACTTTGTTATCAATACAGATTACCCTTCTAGCAAATAATTGCGTGTAATCCTCTTAATTATTAAGTTGAATAAAAATATGTCTTACATCTAAAAGTCTAATTTTTCACTCCCTAACAAAGTGCATAAGCTCAAATTCATTACGAATGAGCTTCATTTTGGGATGGTCATACATAAATTTCTCGACCAAAGTCAAACTACAGGAGGAAGCAAGTTGTATACATTCAGCTTTTGTAAAAAAGATGACAGACTTTCCATTCTTCTTACTAGGCTTCTTGATGTCCTCCGTCAACTCAAACGAAGGAGGGAAAGAACACAAATTAGGAGTACCAGAGGTGTGGACACCCGTAAGGGCAGCAACATACGATATGTCCGAAGTCATCCCCAATAGATGGAAGTGCGGCATTAAGAACAGTGAAGCAAATAGAGAGCAAATTACGAATCCAGAACAGGGAGCAAGGAGCGGGACAGAGGAAAGCTCCTATGTGATCTGCAGACGGTTCGAGCAGTCGCCGCAGCAACAGACAGAGAGGGCGACAAAGACCTACATCGCAACAACGAACGAATCGCAGCTGCAGACGAAGGACGAGGAGAGTTGAAGGCGAAACGAACGGAATCAATAGAAAAGGTGAAGCCGACGGAGAGCGTGAAACCCTTATTCCCCGATTGCGAACGAAGCAAGCGAAGCGAGAATCAAGGGAGACGCTCGAGTTCGCCATGAGGCGAAACCCTAGCAAAGCCTCTTGTCATTTTCACAACAATATATATATATATATATATATATATATATATCAGAGAGAGAGAATGTGTGTGTATAACTTATATTTATATATGTTTTATTAAATAACTTTATTGAAATATTAAAACCTTAAGCTTAGTTTTTTTTATTTTGTTTTTTTCGATCGAGCCCTACCCTGCAACCACACAATACTTCTTCCCTCACGAAAGCACAAACGTCGCCGCGCCTTCTTCTTCTCTTTCTTCTCCTTCGAGTCGGTTGATCGAGATCGAGCGATTACGACGCACAAGTATGCTTTCCCGCACGAGCTCTCGTTGCCTGCTCACCTTTGTCCGTTACAATCTCAATCCGTTCTGCTCCTATGCGATACTCCTTCATTTCCTCTTCTTCTTCCTTCGTAGGCTAGGGTAAGACATCGTCATCCGTTGCTTCGGACTACGAGGAATCCCAAACATGAGTCGCCCGACTCACCTATAAGTTTTTGCATCCTTCACGGACGTTACTTCTTCATTTTCTGACCCCTTTAACTTCATCTCCCACTTTCATTTATTTACCTAACCCCTCCTTTCATCCTCCTCTATTCAACTGTCTGACTCTTCATTTCTTTTCTCGGATTCTTCGTTTCCACTCCCTCTTATACAATAGAACTGTTGCATACCATCTCTTCAAATCGAGGGCTTAAGTCTCCTAATTGACAGCGAACCACTCCTGGGAGTGGGGTTGCAGCCTGCTATGTTTTGAGACACGGGACAAAAGAACTAGTGACGCTTTTGCGCTACTTCCAAGCACTGGGTGCCCCTCGCTCGGGATCCAAGCACGGGTGTGCCTCCCATGGTACTGAGGCTCCACTCTGCTTTGGTGCCCGGGTTCCCCTGTTGCGGTGGCCTCTAATGTAGCTTCACAACTCAATAATCTCTTACTTGGAAGCTGATTGCGCTTTCATTTATTTACCTATCCCCTCCTTTCATCTTCCTCTATTCAACTGCTCGACTCTTCATTTCTTTTTCTGGATTCTTCGTTTCCACTCCCCCTTATACAATAGAACTGTTGCATACCATCGCTTCGAATCGAGGGCTTAAGTCTTCTAATTGGTGGCGAACCACTCCTGCGCGCGGGGTTGCATCCTGCTATGTTTTGAGACGCAGGACAAAAGAACTAGTGACACTTTTGCGCTACTTCCAGGCACTGTGGTGCCCCTCGCTTTTGATCCAAGCACGGGCGTGCCTCCCATGGCACAGAGGCTCCACTCTGCTCTGGCGTCCAGGCTCCCCTGTTGCGGTTGGCTCTAATTTGGCTCCACAACTCAATAATCTCTCACTTGGAAACTAATTGCGCTTTCATTTATTTACCAAACCCCTCCTTTCATCTTCCTTTGTTCAACTGCCTTACTCTTCATTTCTTTTCCCGGGTTCCTCGTTTCCACCCCCCCTTATACAATAGAACCGTTGCATACCATTGCTTTGAATCGAGGGCTTAAGTTTCTTAATTGGCGGCGAACCACTCATGGGCGCGGGTTGCAGCCTGCTATGTTTTGAGACACGGGACAAAAGAACCAATGACGCTTCCACGCTACTTCCAGGCACTGGGGTGCCCCTCGCTTGGGAT